CACACACACACACACACACACACACACACGTCCATGCACGTCGCTATATAAGTGCAATAATCTTGCGTTAAACGTTAAACCCAATTTCACCTCACCTCACCTCTTTTAAGGAAGGGCGTGTTTCTCATCTCCCGCAGTTAATTCACGCCACTTTCAAATGACAGTTCTCCACCCCATGCATAATCGCCTGTCAGTTGTCAACAGCCCCGTGGACCGGGGTTTCCGAATCAGAAAAGGTGTAGAGCAACACGTTTTTCACACGAGGTGACGAAATGCATAGGCCGTCAGGTTCAGTGACTTGGTTGATCGCTTGTCATCATACTCGACGGCTCGTAATAACGATCACTGGTTTGTCTGGTCCCGATTATTTACTGGACGCCCTAATGTGACTCGAATGTTTCTAAGTGCAGCGAAAAGCAACAAACAATGGGCAGTAGAAAATGAACACTGCATAAAACATCTTGGTTCCCCGTTAGTCTTCGCGAGTGTCCACTAGCCTACATCAAACCGTCGTCTTTAGAAGACTTTGATAAAACCTAGTGCACACTTTTGCCTCGGGAAGAAGCCTATGTTATAATTTCGAGAGTAAGCCTTCACTCCTTAAATGGGTGAATGAGTTAACGCCTTCTCTATATGGTGCAGCTATATAACGACTGAATGTTTTTGACCGAGTCCAGACACACAGCAATGCTGGAGCTGAGCTCAGTCGGGCCATTGTGACCGCCCGACAAGCAAATATCCAACATAGACGTTCGTACTCTAGGGATTTCCTTGCATCAACAACACAAGTCCGACAGAGGGTCCACAATTTTTATTTCGACAAACGCCTGTAGTGTATAAGGCTCAGACAAAGTCTTAACTGAACTCAGCTGTCAGTTAACTTTCGTCCAGATATGGAGATATCTCTCACCCTCTATTTTTCACATCAGAAAATGTAAGAAACAACACGAAACATGATAAATTCAGTCACGTGATCTACCGGTGGCGGCAGCCATGAATTTGCGCTGGGACGAAAATCAGAGTTTATAACTGATATAATACAAATTAAGTTGGGTTTTGAGGTTGAACAAGTGGATAAGGACACACAGAAGGCTCTGGAACAAGATGGGAGTCACTACTGAGGTGTGGAGGCAGAAAATTGGAACTTTCTGCCCTAGAGGCAAGCGAAGGTGCTCTGTGCACCCCGGTATAAGAACACCAAACGGGTTATGGGTATGTGTACGCCTTGCAGTTCTGACACTTACGTTATTGATAGCAGCTGGAGATGTGGAGTTGAACCCGGGACCACCTAAACCCCAACAAAGTGACAAGGTACAAACTCGTCTTTGATCCAGGAATATCAGCGGCAGCATAGAATGTGAGAGATCAACGACGCTGAAAGACCTCGCCAAAACGCTGTTCTCAATGCAGGACCAAATTACCTCCCTTGACAGGAAAGTGGATTTGTTTACATCCGACTTCAACCAAAAGATGAACGCACTCGAGACTGAGAACAGAGATCTTAGATCCAAACTACATCATATGAACCTGAGAATGGATAACATCGAGGCACAGTCACGACGAAATAACCTCATCGTCCATGGAATGACGGAGGACAAGGGGGAGACATGGGCGTTTACTGAAGACAAGGTACGAAACTTTATCAACGATGTATTACAGCTTGACATATTTGATAAGCTTGGGATTGAAAGATGTCATCGACTCCCGTCTAAGTCTAAATCTGGAAATCGGCCTATCATCGTGAAACTTACGGCATTTAAAGACCAAACTTACATTCTGCAAACAGCTAAAAGGGTACTTAGAGGAAGCAGTGACTACCGAGTTTCAGAAGATTACACACAACGTGTACGAGACATTAGATCTAAACTTTTTCCTCACACGAAGAAAGCGAGAGATGATGGTTCTGTTGCTTACATGAACTATGACAAGTTGATTATTGATGGTGATGTGTTTGTGTATAACCAGGAAAGTGACAGTGTCCAGAAAGTGGGACAAAGGAGGAACTGGCGACCAAGGTCACCTAACAGAATGGACAGTACAATCAACAATACAACATAGGATCTTGGCAGTGGTCCCAATTACAGAAAAGCACAAAATGACTCTTACAATGTTAACGATGGTAAATTCACAAATTCAGTGTACACAATATGTTCTTGGAATATCCATGGACTTTTATCAAAGTTGATGTATCCTGATTTTATTTCATTTTGTTCACAATTTGATGTGCTCTGCTTCACTGAAACTTGGTGTGTTGATGAAAATAAGCTATACTCATTATTTGATTCTCATGATTGCTTTGTGAGTCCCCCATCAAGATTATCGAGGTATGGGCGTTACTCAGGAGGTATAGCTGTATACATAAGTCATAACATCACTTCCCAAATTAGTAGGATATACACATACTGGACAAATTGTGTTTTCTTTAATATGCTTGATACTGAGAGAAATTCCCCACTTATACTTGGTTTTGTGTATGTTCATCCAAATAAATCACAATTGTATACTGACTCAGATGATAATGGCATTGATATAATCGAGAAACAATTATTACATATAAATTATGATTATGGTGATGAGTGTAAATACATATTATGTGGGGACTTTAATGCGAGAGTAGGACATGGAGAGGATTTTATTCGAGATGACAGTACAAATTACCTCCCTCTTCTTGAAGATTATACTAGCGACTTATTTAACCTTTCAAGGGATGTTTGTGATAAAGATGTAAATGCTTATGGAATTTGTCTACTTGAATTATGCAAGTTATTTGGTATTCATATTGTTAATGGTAGAATGAAGTCTGACATTCCAAGCAATTTCACGTTTGTCTCGCGTCTAGGCACAAGTGTTGTAGACTATTTCCTTGTGTCAACAGACATATTCCCCAAACTAGTAGATCTCAAAGTGTGTTCAAGAACAGAATCAGACCACATGCCTCTGATCTGTACTATATCTCACATGTTTGATAATGTGATTACTAATACTGACCATATAACAACAGTATCACCCATTCCTAGATATAAATTAATCGATCAACATGCTCTGAAATATAAACAATTACTACAGACTACTGATATATTTGAAGAATTTTACACAGCTTTACAAACAGATGTTAATACTGCAGTCAAGACATTGGGAGATATACTGATCCACATTGCTTGTTCTTCTGGAGGTTTTTGTACACTATTTAACAATAAATCCAGAAATCAACCAATTTGGTTTGACCATGAATGTACTCAACTCAAAAAGAAAAATATAGGTATCTTAATTTATTTAAGCAGTTCAAATGTAATGAAAATTTGCAAAAATATGTTACGGCCAAAAGAAAATTCAAAATATGCTGTAGTCAGAAAAAGAAACAATTTGATGGTAAAATAGTTGAAGATTTGAAAGATGCTGCAAAACATGGTAATTGTAAAACATTTTGGAACACCCTTAAACGGGTTTTATGTAGCAAACACTCTAAATGTGCAATATCTCCTGATGCTCTTCAGTTATATTTTAAAGATTTGTTAAATTCTAACAAAACAGAAGTGAATGAAGATTTTAATGTACTTGTAAATGAATTCATTGATAGTCACTCTTGTGATAATTGTGCTAGCTTACCCATTACAGATGAGTTGTTATCAGATATTATTACTGATGAAGAAGTAGCTGAAGCGTTAAAAAGATTAAAACTCGGGAAACCTCCTGGTGAAGATGGAATCCCTCCAGAATTTTTTAAACTTTCAGAAACAATTCTTATTAAATACTTGAGACCTTTATTTAATAAAATATTAGATACCGGTATATTTCCTGAAGCATGGAACATTGGACTTATAATACCTTTACATAAATCTGGTGTTACCTCTGACCCCAACAATTATAGAGGAATATCCCTGCTAAATGCAACTGGGAAATTATTCACGTCAATACTTGAAAAAAGACTACGATCATGGATGGATATAAACGATTTAATACATGAAGCACAAGCTGGATTCAGATCCAACTATTCAGTAACAGACAACATTTTCACACTCCAGGCTCTTTGTACTAAATATTTAACAAAGCGAGGGGGGCGATTTTATTGTGCTTTCATTGATTTCAAGAAAGCCTTTGACTTTGTGGAAAGGAAAAATTTATTATATATGCTCTTACAAAAAGGTTGCCATGGCAAGTTGTATAATGTCTTAGCTAGTATGTATTCTGCTGTTAAGGCTTGTGTAAAAACAGACAAAGGTAGAACAGATTTGTTTACAACTAGCTCCGGTGTAAGACAAGGCTGTATCTTAAGCCCGCTTCTGTTTATCTTCTTTATTAATGAGCTTGTAACTGACATTTATAAAACGTGCTGTCATGGTGTGTTTGTTTCAGAAAGTATTGAAGATGTTATGCTACTACTTTTTGCCGACGATGTGACTATGTTCTCATATTCTGTTATTGGTCTACAAAGACAATTAGATATCTTAAGAAAATTTTGCATTACCTGGGGATTAAGTGTGAGTCTTGATAAAACAAAAACAATTGTTTTCCGAAACGGTGGCATTATACGAAAAAATGAAAAATGGTTCTATGGTTCTATAAAAGTAAAACTTGTCACTTACTACCAGTATCTTGGAGTATTTTTCTCCTCAAGGCTAATCTGGTCAATGGCCTGTAAAAGCCTAGCATCACAGGCTTCTAAAGCCACTAGAGCCATTTATCATGTTTTCAAAAGAAATAGCTATATAACATTCGAAACAGCTTGTACAATGTTCGATTGTAAGATTGCTCCTATATTACTTTATGGGGCTGAAATCTGGGGGGCAAAATATAATGAATGTATAGAAAAAGTACATAAGTCCTATTTTAAAAACTATCTTTGTATCGGAAAATATGCCTCTAATAAAGCTATTCTTGGTGAAACTGGGCGATTAAATATGTTCGTGTTTAGCAAAATAAGGGTACTTAAATACTGGTTGAGATTGCTACGTATGAATCAGTGTTGATATCCAAAACAATGTTACAATCTACTTAAACAGTTAGATGATAATAATAAACACACCTGGGTGTCTGATGTAAGGTATATTTTGTTTTCTTCAGGCTTTTCATTTGTATGGATCTCTCAACATATTGGCGATGAAAATCTCTTTTTGCTAAAAATAAAACAAAGGCTGAGTGATATGTATTCTCAAGAGTGGCATGACTCTATTTCTTCATCAAAATATGTCACATTATGCAAATTTGAAATCACTTTTACAGCCAGAATTTTACATCAATAATCTCACGATTAAATCTCTCAGGAGAGCATATTGTAAATTCAGAATATCGCCACACGGTTTTAAGATTAACATGCTACGGAAGTCAAAACATACAAATGAAGACTTGAGTCTATATCTATGTACCCACTGTAAAGGGAGGCAATTAGAGGATGAATTTCATGTTTTGTTTATATGTTCAAAATATTCTTCTGTCAGAAACCACTATTTGCCTTGGTTATCCAATGTCCATCATGATAATCACAGTTTATGTAATCTACTCAACTCCAAAAATATCAACATTGTAAAGGCTTTGGCCTTATACTTAAATCATGTATTTAATGTGAAATAAGACTACTTGTATTTATTTTCCTGACATCACGTGACGCAGCAATTATTGTAATTGTAATTGTACTCTAGGCCACATGGCCCAAAATACTGAATAAAGAATCTTGAATCTTGAAACTCAGAGAGAATAATGAAGACTATATGTAGTTATGGTGGGTTGCTTGCATTATGATTAATAACATAAACTGTAAAGAACGTTTAAAGGGAGGCTAGGCTCCGCGGTTTGGTGCCCAGTCCAAGTATGGGTCTGAACACTGTAACCATGTGTCAAACTGGGACATTGATTCTGTGTAAATAGAGTAACCACTAAACTGATATACATTGTGACATTTAAGTTTACGAGCAACCAATATAGGTTTTCAAGACTTGAATCAAACATGCTGGCACTGTCAACTGACCCGAGCCTTGTCCCCATTTAGAGTTTTGTGTTGAGAGACGAGTAATAAAACGCGTACATAAAGATGACATTTAGCCAGGAATTTGTTTGTGGATGATACAGGTACCCTGATTCTTCGCGAAGTACAGAAAGCTAAAGTATAAGCAGCGCTCGTCGTACTTGCAGGTCAGAGCACAGTCCTCCACAGCGTCAACGTTTTTATAATAGAATATCTGCCCACTGACCCCACGCCTCTCAAAGACACATTCTTGGTAGCCATCTGAAAACATACAATATATAAAGTCGCTTTTTGCTTCTATGTTGGAAAATTCGTCATGATGTGCCAATAATATTAATTTATTGCAGTTCGTTTTGACATACACAAGCTTCGTGGAATACTGGATTTTCAGCTCCGTTTTGTGATCACGTGACTAAGGACACGTCGAGTTCCTTGTTTCCATGGTTCCGTACATCATGATGGCATCTGGATAAGTATTCGAAATAAACATCTCCCAATTACCAGCTGGATACTGAGAATGTTACAGAGAATGGGAGTCAGGTGGTGTGCAGACAGCTTGGAAGTCTCTTGTTGGATAGAGTGTCCTGAGTCACATGGTTGGCAAGTTAGAATCGTGGGAGATGTCGTACACCTGAACATGGAATATAACGGATTATCTGCCCCGAGTGAATAAAAGTTGTAAGTTCCGGAAATCTGAAGTCTAATTCATGACATCTGGATTTCAAATAGGGATATGTAATGTAATAATAGCTAAGAAACAGTATCCAAAGAAGTGGTTTTCCGTGACGTCCATGGAATATATGCATGACGTCTGAAGTTAAATATTAAAATGAATTCCCCGCCAAAACACGTGTCTATGATATTCCCAAGTGCATCAGATTTCATTTCTAAAAAAACAAACAATATTGTTCATCGGACATCCAGAATAAACCATTCAGCTATTCCTGGCATCCCCAGACGCGTCTGGTGTCTTGCCAAAACATTCCTTCAGTTGGTTCCTCAACGGTACAACATTGCGTTCGAACACTGCGTCTGTTTGGCGAATCCCAGTCAAATTATTCGCAATGTGAACAAGATATGTTCGACCATCTGGATGGATATCTGCCCACACCATAACGCTCCCACCTCCAAATCCAGCCACCTGTTGCTGTAACATTCATGACGTCAACGGCAGTCTTTGCATCTACCATCAGCTCCTCTTAACACATCTTCCCGAAGAAAGGGAGTTAACTGAATAGAAAAGTCCAGTTCCCACCCTTGCCGAACTAGGCTAAGTTTTCGTGGCTCGATCGTAGCGCCACCAGTGGCTATAACGAGTTATTTACATTCTATTCCCCTTCTATTGGCAATCATATTCAACCTCTCAAATCCCGTTTGCTTAAAATGAAATGGCGGCGCCCAGTCCAGACTATCTGATCGATAATCAAGATCTATATTGTAATAAAATAGGTCTAACCTCGCGAAATGCATCAAATTACTTACGCACGTTGATTAAAAACATGAAAAGATTTTGAAATTATCTGTCGACGCCCAGGTGGGTTTTCTTCAAACATCCAGCTTTGATATAACAGGTACTGTTCAAAGCAGCTTTAAGCCAAACTCACTCACTCACTCACTCACTCACTCACTCACTCACTCACTCCTGTAGAGAAATGCTTAACCAACTGTTCAGCCTGCTTTCGTTTTTCAACATTAAAACATATCACAAGTTACTTTATCAGAAATTGTGGTTAAACAATATAATCAGAATGCATTTATAATTGTATCGTCAACCATACCTCGGTTTGATTCACAGAATCCCAGTTCGGTGGAATTCCGTTTTGTGTACCTCACCATGGATGGCCAAACTTTGGGCAAGTCCAGTGTTTCTGTGTGGAAACAAAGATGTCCGTGTTAACCCCAAGCTCATTAGAAATCACATCTTTCACTCTGATACGATACCTTACTGCATGGGAATCTGACAACCCTGCCGTTAGAAATGACGTCAGATTACTTTCTAATCACGGTATATGCTTCTCAGTTTCCGGTACGAGTGAGGGAAGAATATACAGAAAACATTGCTGATGTTAAATTGTCTGGAATATTGCATGTACTCTGTTCTTTCTGAGCGCCATGGCATATATTCCCAGAGGTGAATACAATCAAAGGAATATCTATCTTCTGTTTTCCTTTTGGTAAAATCGCCAATTCTGAAGCTAGACGATATAGAAATGAAAACAAATGGTTCAAGCGTCGAAATCTGACAAGATAGAAGAATCTACGCATCCTTCATTTAGATGGGGGCGATCCAAGTTCGCTCAGTCGATGTCACAAGTTCACAACACTGGCCCATCGCGGACACGCGACCTACCTTCACCATCACACAGCAGAGCCTGGCTAGCGTTGCATGCGGACATGTCGTAGATGAAAGGACTATGGCTGGGGTTCATCACGACACATTTCATTCCTTGTGATAGATCTGGTTGCCCATCCCGCCACGTTAGAACACCAGGGGAGTGTAGAATCTCCCCGTCTCCCCACTGGAACTTGCTCATACTAGCGTTATAGTGAAGCCCGGTCCAGAGGTTGACGTTCCTGCAAAGATTATATTTCTTAAAGACAAGCGTTATAGCGAAGTACGTACTGATAGCCAAAAATCTGCAGTGTATTGTGATGCATCCCAGTGACTAGCGTTATAGCGAGCCCCGCTCCAGTAGCCCGAGATTCTGCCATACTTACTGCCATGATGCTTCCTACAGACTAGCGTAATAGTGAAGCCACTCCAACCCTGGTACTGCCATGAAGTATGATGCATCGAGAGCATTTCAAATGTAGCGTTATCACTCTGTGTGTATACTCAAAGTCACACTGATCCTCTTCATATTGTAATCATATGGCAACAATGCCATAACGCGACATTTTTAAAACTTTGACGAGTTTTGAATACTATACTCCACCACAGAAGACGCATCAGAAAATTACAAAGTCAAACTTGCATGTGCCAGTTACGTCATTATCTCAAGAACGGCAGTCGTCGGAATGTAAGATCTGGTGACAACAACGTATACCTGTTCCCTAGACATGAACAAGATCTGTTCTTCACCCATGAGAGATCATAGCTCACGTGGTGACACTTCCTCCGCCGAACTGTAGACTTCCTGTACGCAACATCCGGTAAAACATTCCTTCGCTGATAAACACAAATCCGTACTTCTCTCTGTTGGAGAAATACATTTATCACATCGTGTGCTTAACCCTTGAATTATTGTCATAGCTACCACGTATGCGTTGCTTTTTAGAGCATATTTTTAGTTATTACCAAAGGGCATTAATGCAATATTTTAGCATTTCTTCATGTCGTCCTATCTAAATGTGTAAAACAGGGTAAATATTCACATCGCATTGTCAGTCTTACATTTCTCACTGTATGTTTTTAAAATTTAAACAAAGCGTGACCTGTAAGTAAGGAGTTAACTTTGTGGATCTTAGAGGGTGGATCTTACCTCGGGAAGATGTCTACCGGTATGTATGGGAACGAGGTTATTGTCGATTTGAGTGAGCAAGCGAGTTTGATTTAACGCCTCTTTAACAGTATTTTAGTCATGTCACCACACGAATGCCATTGTGAGGTGTGTGTGTGTGTGTGTGTGTGTCTGTCTGTCTGTCTGTCTGTCTGTGTGTGTGTGTGTGTGTCTCTGTGTGTGTGTGTGTGTGTCTGAGTCTGTGTGTCTGTGTCTGTGTCTGTGTAGGGGGACGGGTGGTAGGGGTGAAAGTCGGGACGGTGGAAAACCCGAATTGTTGCAGGTTTAATGCGAAACCCCTAAGCATAAGTCACGTTCGAAGGTTTCTTTCCCGTCTAAGTAACGCAATTATACACAGCGTCAGTGAGATATAATGCCACTTATAATGAATTGACGTGGTATAACCTTTGGTAAAACATATAATAGAATCCAACCAATGACATTTGATTAAATGGTCATATGTCGCAGTTTAATGTTAATCTTGACCTGGATTTGTCCTTTTTAGGTTTCCCTTTTTCCTTTGAAAAATCAAAAATTTTAAAATGGGCCTTCACTTGCGTTGGCGTTCTCAATTGTTTCATTTGGAATGAAATGTTTCCTTTCTCTGATAGAGTTGTACACGAATAACAAATTGTCATTAAATTGAAAGGGAAAGACATTTTGAGTGGTGCAATAATGGTGCGAAGCTCAAATTGGTTTGCTGCGTACACAATTGGAAGATTAGTCATGTAACTCTTCAGTGCGTGTGGTAATGGTGAGTGGGTTTCAGCGAAAAACTACAGTTGAACAATTATAATCTTAACAATCTGCATAAAAAGGACACAAATCATTAATTACTATCATATAATGTAACCGTCCGTTTTAAGCGTCACTGTTCACGATCACTTCTGTACTTTGTTTCACTATTTATAAAACTCATCATTTTATATAAGGTTTCATTGTTCATACATCTGATAACTTAGTTTTATTTCCCTGTTTATACACGTTGCTTCCGCACCAGGTTTTATTTTCTATAAACTCACCCCTAATGTACTATAGAGCGGAATGCACTGTTCACAATTCTCTATGTTTCCATGCTAAGTTCCAATCTTCACACTTTTCCATACTTGTTCCCATGAAAACTCAAAATATATTTGTTAAAAACCCTAACAATCAATAGGAACCAGTTCACAACAACCGGACCTATCTATATGTCATGTTTGGTGAAGAAATATTTAAGGTATCCAATATCTGCTACGGAAACTAGCACTACCCCCTTTTTCAGTCTAAGTAATAGACAACTCGAAAAGCTAATTTTTCAAAAGTCCCGGACTATCATCAGAAATGATTTAATCACAACACGTATTCATGTGTCAAGTTTGGTAAGATAAGTACGGTTTTTAAGATCTGCTCCGGAAAAGAGCACTACCGCAACTTGTTTCAAAGAATGAATCTTTTGAAAATCAAAGACTCCAGTTTACCACAAGACCATTCTAAGCGCCACGTTTGGTGAAGAAATAGTGTATGTTTCTCAAGATCTACTCCAGAGTCTACATCTTGCACGGACGGGCGCACGTTATATTTACATGTGAGTGAGTGAGTGAGTGAGAGTTAAGATTAAACGTCACATCGGCAGTATTTCAGCCATATCATGACGATAAGTACATTAATAATACATATATTTATACAATATAAAAAGCTGTCAACGATGGACAGTACAATAACTAGAATATCGCAGAGTCTATTTAAAACTAGTTGAGAATACATAAAAGTCATAAGTATTAGTGAACAACACAATATAAAAATGGGCTAGAGATCTACTAAAGGGAGATCACCATACTAGGGACCATTGGGACTTACAGTGCCTTTGCTTCCTGCATGGACCCCCGCAGTATTTATATCATCCCTTTAGTCACTGGCGACAGTGTACCAATTAAGCCAAAGATTAAAATGACGAATATTCTACGTTTAAAAGCCTGGCATGCAGAAAATACTTATAATGATATGGGACTTACATACCCTCTTAGGGGGACAATAATTTTACGCTACTTCAACCTCCCTCGAGGGTACAGCCACTCACAATCTAAGTTATTAATTAGCACTACCAATTTATAAAATAATACCTTCAGTTCATCAACGTTTATGGACAAGTTCGATTTCTTTTAAAAAGCTTAATATTAAATGAGAATTAACATCTTTAAAAAATCCCTTAACTGTTTGACACTGAAATATTTATCCCTTGTGATGAAAAAATCAATACAGTCAAGCAGGACATGCGTGACGGTGATTCTTTCATCACAAGGGATACAAAACGGAGGATCCTCACCTTTTAACAAATACTCATGTGTATATCTAGAATCGCCAATACGACATCATCGCATATTGACCTCTTCAAATCTGGACTGACAGCCCAAGTAGGTGTAACCTCATATTTACATGTAACATAGCTAACCTGAAAGCATTATTGTTCAATCTCGTTTCAATCAGATCTTTCACTCCGATAGATATCTCTGTGCATGATGATCAAAGGAAACCAACACAGTCACGTTGAGTACCTGCCGTTACCGTAAACACTCATCCGTTTTGTCGTTTGATAAGTTTTTCTATATATCACTTCTGGGGGCTACGGTTCGTTCCGCCAGAAAAGTATACCAATGTGCGCTGCAGCATTTACAACGCACTTCTCCATCTTGTATTGTCCCCAAATCATGAAAACAAACTACACATCAATCTTTTCCTTAAACAGTTACCTTCAGACAGTTATACTTAATTATATTAATGTGAACTTTGAATGAAGATTCCAGATCGGAAACAATATCCAGTGGTGTTTTCATTTGAGCTGCCATCGTCATTTCCACACCCGTGCTAAAAGTATGAGAGTTGCGTAACAAAAAGGGCATGGGTGATTCATGCGTTTGAGAAGCCACAGGCCAAGATTTATGTCCCTTAGGTGTATCATGATGACTGATCGATAGTTCGCTGATAATTATTATTTGGTTTGTCAGCAGTGAAACCCTGCCCGTGGGTTTCACCAAACAAGTAAACGTCAAAGACCTGCTTCAATTTGAGCATTCCTCCTACCTAATTCACAAAACCAATGCCGCTTTGAAGTATGTCATGGTCAGTCAAGCTTATGTGGATGGAAAGGCTGATGTGACCCAGGTTTACTAATTCGATGGAAGCCACAAGCACAGGCACCCAATGTTGACGGCAGTTTGACAGGTTTTTGAGCACCATGGCATCTCAGCCCAAAAGGGTGTCCCATGGAAGGTATGTTTGTATCCTGTTGTTTTTTAGATCAAGATTTCCGAATAGAGGTGGAGAAGAAATACAACTGCCTCGTTTTAGCAAGCTGACATCCGATTTGATAAAGACCCCATGCATCCTCCATTTAAATTGGTGGTCTAGGGTAGCGCACAGGTACACCTGATACGACATTATATGGAGGTTGCTCAGATCTTCAGGAAGAATGGAGACAAATCTTATTTGATGAGATTTGATTGAAGCCACCACCAGCGATCAGGGTGGAACTCAGTACACTGAAATGTGCCGGCTTAGACGACTTGGCCCTCCTTATTAAAGAATACCATTTACTCACCTCTCTCCCATGTAAGCAGAGACCAGCCTTTGGGTTTCATTGGTTTTGACGTTCACCAGCTGAAGACCGTTTTGCTTGCAAACATATACTGCAGCTTCGTATTTAACCTTGGGAGGAAGGAAGAAATATTCTCCTGAAACTAAGAACAAATAGGGAATGTGACATCTTGATTCCTTAAGTTTGTTTGTTTGTATTTTAACGCCGCGCTCCAGCAATATTCCAGCTGCATGGCCAAGGTCTGGAGATAATCCAGTGACTTACATCATGAGCATCGATCCACGCAATTGGGATACAATGACATGCATCAACTAAGTCAGCGAGCCTGACTACCGCATCCCGTTAGTCGCCTCTTACGACAAGATTTGCCGTCTTTTGCGGCAAGCATTGGTTCCTGAAGACCTATTCTACCACGGATCTTCACGGGTCGATTCCTTGTGTAAATAAGATAATAGTGATATCTGCACAACAGGCCAGCAGGGCAAAGCACGATCAAGCCGTTACAATACGAAGTTAGTATTCAGCTCTGAGCCGTTTGACCAATTCGGATGTTTTACAAATCAAAGATCTTTTGACCTTTGACCCACATGGAACGCGAATGTCACAACAACTTCATGAATCAAATGCCACTGGGAACGAGTTCTCTTTGTGTGTGTCTGATTTAAGATGTGCCAGAAAGTACTTTTTCTTCAGGGTTTCCAATCATAACCTAATTACTCACTGATACACGCCTGCTGCGCATGCCTGGAACAAAATGCTGTTGTCCGGCTCCTTCCTTCAGAGACAAATACTGTAATACCGTGTATGTCAGTGCTGACCCGTTCCACAAAACGATCATGGTGCTCGACTGCCTAAGTCTATGTTAAAGTTTGGGAGATACGATCGTCTTGACGCTCATATCGCTTTGTGGAACCGGGCCATGGAATATTAAATGGTTGGTTCCATGTACAAGCATCGACTTGGACATTCAATCTACCAACTGACGAATTATGATCCACTTTAATTAATACCATCTGGTATAATATATGTGATCATAATGTTATATATGTTTAAGGAACATATTTCGACAGGTTGATGACGTTGTCAGAGGCTATACAAAATAAGAAATGTAAATGGACTTTGGTGCACATATAAATTATTTGGCCTTGTTATCTATTATGACGAAACGCAAGATCCAATCAAAGGATACATCTCTAGTACACGAACACTTCTATCTAAACGTACTAATTAACCAATATTCCAGTCATTTTACACGGATTACGTGGGACTAGTGGTGAGTTATCTTTCCATATTTTTTGGATGTGTTTGTACAATACAATATCCATTCAAATGCACTTTGTACAACATACGTCTTTATAAATGCACGTAATTCGGAGGTTATGTCAGGTATTCTTGACATCAAGTGAATATGGAAACCACTTAGTATTACCGAGATGACATTGCATGGTATAACACTATGGAAGCCTCAAAGTGCCACATGCAAAACATAGTTTGGTCCACTGTTCTGTTACCGTATAAGGAAATAGTGCCACATGCAAAGATATGGTCATCCCTTCGTGGGAGAAAAGAAAAGCAACCATATATATAGGAGATAGAAAGTAAGAATGTTGTTAATATGGTGATGACGCAGAAGGCAATAAGTAATGTACATTAAGAATACATTTGGAATGATAACTTCAGTGTTTCTGTTTCTAGATAGTTTACGATCTACTGTGTTATTAGATCATGTGCTGTTAGATGTTGATGAAAATTAAGAACGATTTTGTAAAAGTTTTTTTGAATCTGCTTATTGTATGAAATAAATGTGCATCAAATAACCATGATACACCCAATTGATGTATATCAGATGGTGACTAGATCTGCGAAACGTGCGTGCAGGGGAGCACTTCGACAGTTTAGACGACATAGAAATTAACATTCCAGAAAACAATATTGAACTGTTAGGAACAACTATAACTATGAACATGTCGGAGGTATAAATTCAAGTTCGCCAACATAAATGTAAAGATTATGGATATATCTGGGTAACCCTACAACATTTTGGAAAGAGATTCGAAATATTAATTACGAAATAATGAAAATCACGTGACAGCACAAAAGTCACACGACACAGCACAAGTTAACCTCAGCTCAGTCGCAGCTCTTTCCTATCAATTTTCAATTTATTTTTATTCTTATACAATGGCAGATTGAAACATGTTGGCAAGATACATTCACAACTTTTTATGTAGAAGATGAAAGTCGTACGAATGAGAAATACTCCTGTTTTCAGGAAGATTTATTTGCATGTGACACGTCCAGGCTTCCACAAACCACCGATATCCTGGACATTTTAATAAGTCCCGATACATATGTCCATATACACGTTTAACAATATTTGGTTTGGTTCAAAGAACAACCCCAGCCTACCTGTAAGTGACAGCGAAATGAAGACCAGTGCCTTCAGCAACATCATGGCTGCCGTCTCACGCAAACACCACCGGTCGACAAGGACAGATCCGATGTTTCCATGACAAGTAAACGTCTGTATGACAACTTTAGAAAGCAAATACTTTGTAAAAGTGTCGCTCTTTTGTGTCTGTCTCGGCTTAATGCGTTCGCAATTATCGATGGACCCAGTGGACAGCGTGCAATTCCCGCTTGAGCCTATTTTACACATGTGTGACTTCTTTTCGAGTAGAAAGTGCTTTTAAATAAATGAAGACAACATATATTGGCTTCACACTGAGATGAAAGGAGGACTAGTTCCAGTCCGATAAACATATAAACTATTAAACTGGCATATATTGTGTGAGACTCTATGTGTAGCAGTGTTATACCTAGAAACTTGAACTTGTCTGTAAACCCGAAGATCCCCTTGATAGTAAAATGTAGTTTCCAGCGATATCTACAGATCTGAAAAGGTTGAATGTATGAACGTAATCACTATTATACGAATTCAGACTTCTGCGAAAACGTTGTTTTTCATATCATCATCAATACGGTATCGGTAAAGGCTTTCGCTCGTCACGCCGAAGGTTCGATCATTCACATTGAGTATTATGTTTGAAGCCCATACCTGGTGTCCCCGCCGTAATAATGCTGGAATATTGCTGGAATATTGCTAAAAGCGGCTTAAAACCACACTCATTCAGTCACGAGTTTTTGTATATATTACAGTCGTTTTGTAAAATCAGTCTGAAAATTCTTCAAAGACAAAACGGCTTTATATTTCAGTTATAATTTTCAAATTGATTAAAAAAATGTCCTTTCATTTATTATGATAACGAATCATGGGCAATGAGTTTGATGTTTAATTTCATCACCTGCACACAGTGACATTAAATTGTTGTTATTTTCTGACTACTAATCCCAGCATGAGCCTTTTCAACTTCTTTATAATTTTAGTCATTCTGTGCCCCTTGTTGCCCCGCCCACCCCAATCTTTGCCGCCTATGGTATACAGGACGCCTTGTTTTCAGGCGGGTTTTAACGGCAGATGTTGAAATTCCTACTATTGAATGGGATTCTCTTTTGATTCCAGGAGCAGATCTGAATCTATTGTCATTAATGTACTGAGTCCATCTTGTCTAGGTGTCGTTTTGTTCGGCCTGCCATGCCCTGGTCTCATTGCAACCCCACCCGTTTGACGGTACATGTCGCACAGTCGGGAAATTATACCTTTTGATTTGGCAAACATTCGGGCAACTAGGGATAATGAAAAAACTGTGTGTACGTGCACAAAGAGCTGTTCATACATTATGTGAAATTTCATTGTGATGAGATGCTGCGTTCAGATGCAACGCTACGGTTTTGTAAATGTACACTGCAACGATAGCTAGATTCACATCATCAGTTCCCTTTTTTTGTCAAAACAGGTTGAAAGGCTGTAGTGTGTAGAGCCAATATCGGTCTTTTTATCCATCCGAAAGGAACCTGACAAGTAACGCTGCACACTCTGCCCCGTACACCCACATTCGTCACCACTCGCCCCTTTCCGTAACCTGCAAGAAGACTCGTCCCCCTATCGATGAATGTTATGTTCGAAAATATGACAAGACCAATCAGAATGCGCGTATGACTTCAAGTACTTCGGTCAAAGAATCCCTCAGGAATATTTTTTGGTTTCACACATGTCTTGCATAAAAAAATATACCCTGGATACAGTTAAATGTGTTCAATCATACTATACAAAAACCGTAAGCCCAGATGTGTTTAAATAGCATCTGGAATCTATATATTCATCTATATAAGACATGGCCGAAATATACGTGAATCATTACGCAACGAGTTGACAGTTCTTTCAACTATGGCTCTTTGCGCTTGGGCGGAACCCTCAGTGAGTACACGCTATTCCTCTCAGAACACAATCGCCAATTTCTAGTCCTCTTTGGTGACGCATAGTCATTGTAAGCTGGGGCTATATTTGACCAGTCGACCTCGCTACCTCATGACCGTCACGGCATTCCAGCTTGCAGTTGACATCCATGAACGCCTCGCCAGACGGGAAAACAGCTGAAAACTGCTTCTTTGTACTTTGATCTGTTTGGTTTTGAGCTAAAGGTTAACTCCATATGTATTTTTAGCAAATTCAATGACCATTTGTAGTTTGTATTTTCAATGCTAGCCACTCTAGTGCATGTGCCCTCGTTTCTTTGTTTATAGTCATGATGGAACTATACTGAACCAAATTAAAAACTTCACAATCCTAAAATTTTAACATTTTGTGGGCCCTTATTGTGTATTTAAACAGTAATGGCCACGTATTGTCTTCAGATAACACCCGTTTTTGTGCAGGTGAATCGATCAAAATCATGTGCACAGCACTACAGTGGCAAAAGTGGTTTTTCACGTGCAACTGGTCACGTGGCCATAATACCGCACGTGTTTTCAGCCATACTTGTCAGCAGTCATTATCAAAAAAAGAAAAACACAAGAAAACAAAAGTCTTTACGGCCATTTGTCATGCCACGCCTTTCAAATGTGCAACGTGAACGTGCCATCGGCATGTTGCAGACGGGAACGTCCGTAGCTGAAGTCGCAAGGACGATGGGTTGTAGTCGACGGACTGTTTATGATTTACAGACGCGTCTACAGCAAACGGGTACCACCGCTGACCGCCCTCGGCCAGGTCGACCACGTGTGACGTCACATGCAGAGGAAAGTCAGATTGTCTTACGTCACCTCCGTAACCGATTTTTGACGGCTCCATCAACCAGAAATGAACTGTTTAGGGGTAGACTGAGCGCGCAAACTGCGAAACCGTCTGAGAACTGCTCACCTTCATGCACGACGGCCATACTGCTGGCCGATTCTGACTCAATTACGTCAACGTCAATTGTGGGCACAGCGATACTTACGATGGACTCAGAGGAATTGGAATCAAGTCGTCTTCAGTGATGAATCCCGATTTAATCTTCGTTTTGCTGATGGTAGGGCGAGGGTGTGGAGGCGCCGTCTTGAACGTTACGCCCAGTGTTGTGTACAGGAAGTTGACAGATTTCGAGGCGGAAGCGTCATGGTGTGGGGTGCTTTCTGTGGCAATGCACGTTCCAGGCTTCTTGTCATCCGTGGCAACCTCAACGCTGCTGCTTACCGCGACCAGGTACTGGCACCAGAACTTCTGCCTTTTATGGCAGCACATGGACCCAGCTGATATTCCAACACGACAATGCCAGACCCCACACAGCAATTTTGACAAAGAATTTCCTTCAGAATGGACTGGCCGTCAAGGTCTCCCGACCTCAATCCCATCGAACACGTCTGGGATGCTCTTGGCAGAAGTCTGCGCACTCTCCAGAACCAACCACAGAATTCGCAAGATCCTGGCACCATTTCGCAGCACCAATGGCGTCGTCTTCCCAATCATGTGTTCACAAGCATCACAAGGTCCATGCGGAGTCGTTGTGTGGCAGCTGTCACCGCATATGGTGGCCATACACGCTACTGAACTTGTGTGCCATCAGATTCTCGTGCTTGGGACTTATGATTTAAACTGTTGATGTTATTACCAAATACCGTAGGTGCTTGGAACAAATTATGGTTACCACCGTTAATTAAAATCCTTCTTTGGACATTAATGATTAAAAATTGCCTTCTCTGATACATTTGTCCGTTGTATATCATATATGGGATTACTTTTAAAAATGTGAAGTTTTTAATTTGACTCAGTATATATTTTCCAAAAACTGTTGTATACAAGTATCTTTTGAATATATCTAATTTAAGATGACATCTTCTAAGTAAGTAATTGTGCCTGGTGTAGTTTTTGTATATATTTGTAATAAATTTCCAGTTTTTGTATATTATGTTATTTTTATGATACATAATTAGTTGTTAGCTTCGTTTAGTTTTATCAGCTATCCAAACACAGTGTGTCTGTCTGTCTATGTAGCCTACTAATTGCCCCTGCACAGAAGCTCTATATGTTGACTGGCCAAGCGTACACCTGAGTTTACTGTTGTTAAACGACTGCATGCTTTGATCACCCTGCGTACTCTCTCAGCACATCACAGAACTGCTCAGATCAAGAAAGGGTAAAGTTGCCATCTCAAATCCGGCGAGTTAAGTGGATATTATCTTTGTTTTGTTTTGTATTAAATAATACAGCTTCAGCCCAAAGAATGTCCCAGGCTGTCGAATCCGTTTGTCGTCATAGTAATCATTTAGTTCATCCTCGAAATCATCTGGGATGTCGGCGACTGTGGCTGTTGAGTCGGATCTCTCGCATTCAGCATTAACAAGATCCTCGTACAAACAATCGTCCTCCGATTCGTCCATTGCATTGGCAATCCCACACTTTAGGAAACTTTGCTTTACCATGTCAGCTGGTATTTCTATCCTTACAGACCGCCTCCGTGGTCAAGTGGTAGAGCGTCCGCCCGGAGAGCGGAAGGTCCGGGGTTCGACCCCCCGCGTCACACCAAAAGACGTTAAAAGATGGTACTTTTGTTACCCTGTCTGGCGCTCGGCATTAAGGGGCTAAAACAAGGACTGGTCGGCTCGGAGTCAGTATACTGTGTCTGAGTGGGGTATTCATGTTCAACTGCGGCATGGTATCTCAGTGAGCTAGCACTATAACCCAAGTAGGTATCAATAAATTACATGAAATTAAACCAAATATCGGCTACACCTACTTGGGTTGTCAGTCCAGATTTGAAGAGGTCATTATGCGACGATGTCGTATTGGCCATTCCAGATATACACATGAGTATTTGTTACAAGGTGAAGATCCTCCGTTTTGTATCCCTTGTGATGAAAGAATCACCGTCAAGCATGTCCTGCTTGACTGTATTGATTTTGCCATCACAAGGGATACTTATTACAATGTTTCATCTATTAAGGATCTTTTTCATATCAGTTCTCATTTAGTTATTGTTTTTTTAAGAGAAATTGAATTGTACCATAAATTTTGATTAATATGTTGTGTATATAATATACTTTTATGATTGGCAACATAAATACAATAACTGAGATCGTTAGTGGCTGTATCCTCGAAGGGGGTTGAAGTAATGTAAAATGATTGTGCCCTGGAGAGGGTATGTAAGAGGGTATTCAAAGTAGATTTGTTCTTACCATTGTCTTTAATCGTAGAATTTTGTTATTTTAATATGGCTATGTATGTTAATCCGGCTGGGGGTCCATGCAGGTAGCAAAAGTACTGTAAGTCCCCATGGACCCTGGCATGGTAATCTACCTTCAGCTGCTGACGATCTATAGCCCTTTTTTATATTGTACCGTTATTTATAGTGATATCTTTTTATAGTTGTATGCTAGTTTTACATACTAATCTGTGATATTCTAGTAATTTTACTGTCCATCTATGACAGGTTTTAATTTAGCAAAAATATATGTATTAAAAATGTATAATTTCTCGTCACGATATGGCTGAAATATTGCCGATGTGGCGTAAAGCATTAAATCACTCACTCACTCTTAGTAAACTACAGATTCGCGAAATTGTTTTGGTTGAGTCCCGTCCAGGGTTCGGACCCATACTGCCAGAGTGAGGCACCTAATCGCCAGCACTGTGGCAGGGTGCGTTCGGATCCCGGACGGTACTCAACCCAAAAAAGTAAGAGAATCTGTTCTTTACTAAGAAAGTGTTATCCCAAACTTAACATTTGTTGTTTGACCACTTTCAAAATGGCATTGTGTGTTCATATCCTGTACCTGTTTTTATGTCTCTTCTCTCTTTAAAAGATGCTGCTGTTATATTTAAACTGGGTATATATGTTAAAAATGCTATTTCTCTTTGAAGCCAATTGTTAAGTTGTATCCGAAAGTGTATAACCACGTATATGTAACTTTCATGTATATGGGCCGGATGCCTTAAATGCAATATCTATCTTTGACTTTGACATATTCCAGTTTTATCACGGCAGAATCTTAATATATTTCATTTAATATTTCACAAATCCTGTTTTTGTCTTGTGTCATCAGGAACTGATGTCTACGTTCAGAGATACAGTTGTCCCAGGCTATCAACTACGGAACTCAATACAAGCTTTCTGAAGTGAATCATGTCTTGACTCAAGGGAACAAGGATGGCGGAGCTGATGGGCTCTATTATTACTGCTGCAACGGTAGACTGAACTTTCTCAGACGTCTTCATGAGAATTGAAGCAATATCACAGTGTTTGGTGGAAAGGTCATCTAAATGATGCAAAAGGAAGAAGAATAGTGAATAGGTGCACTGTTCTCACATCTTTGAAAGCATGGGCGTGGTCTAAGGGTAGAGCGTCCGCCCGGAGAGGGGTACTCTGAGTGGGGTATTCATGTTAAACTGCGGCATGGTATCTCAGTGGGCTAGCACTATAAATCGGCATCAGTCCGGACTAGTACAAGCAGACACACACACACACACACACACACACACACGCGCGCGCGCGCGCGTCCATGCACGTCGCTATATAAGTGCAATAATCTTGGACGCGACGTTAAACCCAATTTCACCTCACCTCACCTCTTTTCAGGAAGGGCGTGTTTCTCATCTCCCGCAGTTAATTCACGCCACTTTCAAATGACAGTTCTCCATCCCATGCATAATCGCCTGTCAGTTGTCAACAGCCCCATGGACCGGGGTTTCCGAATCAGAAAAGGTGTAGAGCAACACGTTTTTCACACGAGGTGACGAAATGCATAGGCCGTCAGGTTCAGTGACTTGGTTGATCGCTTGTCATCGTACTCGACGGCTCGTAATAACGATCACTGGTTTGTCTGGTCCCGATTATTTACTGGACGCCCTAATGTGACTCTAATGTTTCTAAGTGCAGCGAAAAGCAACAAACAATGGGCAGTAGAAAATGAACACTGCATAAAACATCTTGGTTCCCCGTTAGTCTTCGCGAGTGTCCACTAGCCTACATCAAACCGTCGTCTTTAGAAGACTTTGATAAAACCTAGTGCACACTTTTGCCTCGGGAAGAAGCCTATGTTATGATTTCGAGAGTAAGACTTCACTCCTTAAATGGGTGAATGAGTTAACGCCTTCTCATATATGGTGCAGCTATATAACGACTGAATGTTTTTGACCGAGTCCAGACACACAGCAATGCTTGAGCTGAGCTCAGTCGGGCCATTGTGACCGTCCGACAAGCAAATATCCAACATAGACGTTCGTACTCTAGGGATTTCCTTGCATCAACAACACAAGTCCGACAGAGGGTCCACAATTTTTATTTCGACAAACGCCTGTAGTGTATAAGGCTCAGACAAAGTCTTAACTGAACTCAGCTGTCAGTTCTCTTTCGTCCAGATATGGAGAGATGTCTCACCCTCTATTTTTCACATCAGAAAATGTAAGGAACGACACGAAACATGATAAACTCAGAGAGAATAATGAAGACTATGTAGTTATGGTGGGTTGCTTGCATTATGATTAATAACATAAACTGTAAAGAACGTTTAAAGGGGGCTAGGCTCCGCGGTTTGGTGCCCAGTCCAAGTATGGGTCTGAACACTGTAACCATGTGTCAAACTGGGACATTGATTCTGTGTAAATAGAGTAACCGCTAAACTGATATACATTGTGACATTTAAGTTTACGAGCAACCAATATAGGTTTTCAAGACTTGAATCAAACATGCTGGCACTGTCAACTGACCCGAGCCTTGTCTAGGGCTGAAACGATATCCCGGGACACCGATCCATCGCGATTCACTCCATACGATACGGTGTGCGATTTGTGAGGTGGTGTATCTCGATTTTTCACGATACGTTTTTTTCAAAGTCGTATATACGTACGTCTTTGTTTTTGTACATAAACTTTTATCACAGATACGTTTTAAATGTGTTTAAACTCTTTCAACACCGTAGGAACCGAGTCCCCAGGCACCGGCCAAGCCTTAGTCACGTCAAAATTGTATATAGCCTGCAACCTCGACAACGGGTGCACATCGAACATGTCAAAGAGCAAAACAAAGACGTTTCAAGCAAATCTTTAAATATATTATACAAAGTGATAAATAATATATCTAAAAGTGGTCAAACTTACAGCTAAGTTATTATTTCCATCTTTTCGTGCGATCGCGTGTAATGTTAGTCAAATGACATCTTGGCTTTCGGCGCCTCGAATTCTCGGCTCGGACACGATGTTCAATGCCAAAATATATGCATGAAAAATCTTTGTCACAGCTTGTAACCTAGTATGATACATCCACGAAGCTCCATATTTTTAATATAGATCGCGATTTCCTGCTTAAAACGTTCAGAATAACACGATTTAACCAAAATATTTCGTAAAAATCTGAAATTCATCTTACACAAGGATTTGTAATTTGATTGCCTGCCTCAGGTCACGAGCTCAAATTTGACCAATCATGAACCTTGTAGCAGACTTCGGCAAGAAAGCGTCATTAGGAACCATTTTTTATACAATGAAATCTTATGTTATTCCTGCGAAAAGACTCCAGGCAATGTTACGAGCGTGTAGATGAAACAACAAGCTTTCTAATGTCAGTCTTCCACGAACGTGTTATTCATACGAAGCTTTCGAAAACGGAGGTATTTCTTCATTTTACTTAGCTGACAGCCGCTGTTATCTGGAAATGGGTGAAATCAGATACTATTCATAATTCTTCTTAAAATAATTTTCCAATTACGTAAATGAAAATAAAAAAGAAATAATTAGATCTAGATCTTTTGAAATCTTATATTTGCCCCAAATCGTCAAATTTTCGCTTCCTAGGTCCTTAATCTGGATGTTATGAATGTGTTAGCTTACATTTTGTATATTTACAACGAACTTAATTAAGTTGTCAAGTTGTAAATAATGTTATAAACATAACTTTCATATTTAGAAACACCAGGATTAGACCTTTCAAATGGTGTATAACATGGCTGTTGCTACAATTGTTTTTAATTGTTTTTTTGCCTTTATACATGAAAATGGCAAATCATTAGTTACTGGACACTGGTACATTTAGTATTTACTCCTAGAATCTACCATCTGGTCACAACTCACAAATATTTAGGACTGTTACTTTTGTGTTTGCTAGCCATTACATGGAAATGGCAGATGATTCATTAAGTTAAAATACTCATTACAGTATATATTTTATGACTCATGAACATTAATTCACTTTCATTCAATTTTTCATTTTAATAAACTAAGTTTAATTCATTTATCTCTTTTCTTCTCTTGTCACTATGTGTATCGTAGCGTATCGAGATACGTATCGAATCGTAACGTAAGTATCGAGATACGTATCGTATCGTGACCTAGGTGTATCGTTGCAGCCCTAGCCTTGTCCCCATTTAGAGTTTTGTGTTGAGAGACGAGTAATAAAACGCATACATAAAGATGACATTTAGCCAGGAATTTGTTTGTGGATGATACAGGTACCCTGAAGCTTGGCGAAGTACAGAAAGTATAAGCAGCGCTCGTCGTACGTGCAGGTCAGAGCACAGTCCTCCACAGCGTCAACACTTTTAGAATAGAATACCTGCCCACTGACCCCACGCCTCTCAAAGACACATTCTGGGAAGCCATCTGAAAACATACAATATATAAAGTCGCTTTTTGCTTCTATGTTGGAAAATTCGTCATGATGTGCCAATAATATTAATTTATTGCAGTACGTTTTGACATACACAAGCTTCGTGGAATACTGGATTTTCAGCTCCGTTTTGTGATCACGTGACTAAGGGCACGACAAAGGACAAAATGGCTCGCGTCGAGTTCCTTGTTTCCATGGTTCCGTATATCAAGACGGCATCTGGATAAGTATTCAAAATAAACATCTCCCAATTACCAGATGGTTACTGAGAATGTTACAGAGAATGGGAGTCAAGTGGTGTGCAGACAGCTTGGAAGTCTCTTGCTGGATAGAGTGTCCTGAGTCACATGGTTGGCAAGTTAGAATCGTGGGAGATGTCGTACACCTGAACATGGAATATAACGGATTATCTGCCCCGAGTGAATAAAAGTTGTAAGTTCCGGAAATCTGAAGTCTAATTCATGACATCTGGATTTCAAATAGGGATATGTAATGTAATAATAGCTAAGAAACAGTATCCAAAGAAGTGGTTTTCCGTGACGTCCATGGAATATATGCATGACGTCTGAAGTTAAATATTAAAATGAATTCCCCGCCAAAACACGTGTCTATGATATTCCCAAGTGCATCAGATTTCATTTCTAAAAAAACAATATTGTTCATCGGACATCCAGAATAAACCATTCAGCTATTCCTGGCATCCCCAGACGCGTCTGGTGTCTTGCCAAAACATTCCTTCAGTTGGTTCCTCAACGGTACAACATTGCGTTCGAACACTGCGTCTGTTTGGCGAATCCCAGTCAAATTACTCGCAATGTGAACAAGATATGTTCGACCATCTGGATGGATATCTGCCCACACCATAACGCTCCCACCTCCAAATCCAGCCACCTGCTGCTGTAACATTCATGACGTCAACGGCAGTCTTTGCATCTACCATCAGCTCCTCTTAACACATCTTCCCGAAGAAAGGGAGTTAACTGAATAGAAAAGTCCAGTTCCCACCCTTGCCGAACTAGGCTAAGTTTTCGTGGCTCGATCGTAGCGCCACCAGTGGCTATAACGAGTTATGTACATTCTATTCCCCTTCTATTGACAATCATATTCAACCTCTCAAATCCCGTTTGCTTAAAATGAAATGGCGGCGCCCAGTCCAGACTATCTGATCGATAATCAAGATCTATATTGTAATAAAATAGGTCTAACCTCGCGAAATGCATCAAATTACTTACGCACGTTGATTAAAAACATGAAAAGATTTTGAAATTATCTGTCGACGCCCAGGTGGGTTTTCTTCAAACATCCAGCTTTGATATAACAGGTACTGTTCAAAGCAGCTTAAGCCAAACTCACTCACTCACTCACTCCCTCACTCCTGTAGAGAAATGCTTAACCAACTGTTCAGCCTGCTTTCGTTTTTCAACATTAAAACATATCTCAAGTTACTTTATCAGAAATTGTGGTTAAACAATATAATCAGAATGCATTTATAATTGTATCGTCAACCATACCTCGGTTTGATTCACAGAATCCCAGTTCGGTGGAATTCCGTTTTGTGTACCTCACCATGGATGGCCAAACTTTGGGCAAGTCCAGTGTTTCTGTGTGGAAACAAAGATGTCCGTGATAACCCCAAGCTCATTAGAAATCACATCTTTCACTCTGATAGATACCTTACTGCATGGGAATCTGACAACCCTGCCGTTAGAAATGACGTCAGATTACTTTCTAATCACGGTATATGCTTCTCAATTTCCGGTACGAGTGAGGGAAGCATACGGAAAAATTTCTGATATTACATTGGCAAGAATATAACTACTCTGTCCTTTCTGAGCGCCATGGCATCTATTCCCAGAGGTGAATACAACCAAAGGAATATCTATTTTTAGTTGTTCTTTTTGGTAAATTCGCAATTTATGAAGTTAGACGATATAGAAATGAAAACAAATGGTTCAAGCGTTGAAATCTGACAAGATAAAAGAATCTATGCATCTTTCATTTTGATTGGGGCGATTCAATTTCGTCCGTCGATGTCACAAATTCTGAACACTAGCCCATCGCGGACACGCGACCTACCTTCACCGACACACACGAAAGTGCGGTAGACGATGCATTCGGCCATTTGGTAGATGAAAGTTCCATGGCTGGGGTTCATCGTAACACATTTCATTCCTTGTGATAGATCTGGTTGCCCACCCTGCCACGATAGAACTCCAGGGGAGGGTAGAATCTCCCCGTCTCCCCACCGGAACTTGCTCATACTAGCGTTATAGTGAAGCCCGGTCCAGAGGTTGACGTTCCTGCAAAGATTATATTTCTTCAAGACAAGCGTTATAGCGAAGGACGTACTGATAGCCAAAAATCTGCAGTGTATTGTGATGCATCCAAGTGACTAGCGTTATAGCGAGCCCCGCTCCAGTAACCCGAGATTCTGCCATACATTGTGATGCTTCCTACAGACTAGCGTAATAGTGAAGCCACTCCAACCCTGGTACTGCCATGAAGTATGATGCATCGAGAGCATTTCAAATGTAGCGTTGTCACTCTGTGTGGATACTCAAAGTCACACTGATCCTCTTCATATTTTATCATATCGCAACAATGCCAAAACGTGACATTTTTAAAACTTTGACACATTTTGAATACTATACTCCAACACAAAAGACGCATCAGAAAATTACAATGTCAATTATTGCATGTGCCAGTTATAGTCTGGAAGTTAATTTATGGTACCGACGTTTACTACAATATCTGAAAAACTGTTGGACCTACTCCAGTCAAAGTTGGTATGAGATTATTAAACAGTCATACATAACTGGATATTACATTTAAAGACAATCGGTGCATGAATAAAAAATCTGTCTATTTAGCTATCACTATATCTCATCAACAACCAGACCTGTTCGTCACGGGTGGAACGAGCATTCATTGTAACAGCCATCTGCATAATGCTACCCCTGCGTCACAGGGCCATATGACACAATTGAACCAATCAACTCAACTCGAAAGGTTGCACGGGAATCACGCACGCACGAATACGGTGTTAGCATTAGATTTCATGATGTCTCAGCGCAAGCATCTTTAAAATATTTGAATAATTTAAGGCTGAAAGTGAAAGAAGTTCGCCCTTCTTTGACATTTCAAAGTACATGAAAAGAACAATTCATGCGTTACAGCTTCCCAAACAAACCGTAGTTAAGATTTTGAACTCTTATAAAACACATGCTCCCCTGCACATCCCTTAGGGGGCATCTCAAAACAGGATAGGAAATTAAAGTTAGATTCCTTTGATAATGTTATAGTGGAAACCATTTGATACTTTCATTTAAAATAGTGCAAACTATTTCAATACTTTTATTTTACATTTCATTTTTCTAAATACTTAACTGGTTCAATATGTTTCCAAGTGCACCGAAATTCTATGCCCTTTGTCTGTTTAATATATTCAGCAAACATTCGGCGTATCCCCTCTTATCATAAGCCCCTCCAGGCAAGACCCTTAATCTCCAGCGCTATCTATAAATTTTGATTAACACCTCCTAACGTCGCCGGATCTTACGTCTAAACATACACGTGGCACAATGACCTGGTCACACGTTATGTAATACCTCGCTCTACAAAACCCGACTGACATGGTCAGTCTGGGAGACAGCCATAAGGTAAGTGACAGAACGGTTCTCCCAACTCCGGAACATTGGCCACTCGGTCTCGGTTTGCGTTCTGTCACGTTCTTATCAACATGTACCCTTTCGACTCATTTCAACCTGCATCAATAAACATGGCTGCTGTCGTCTAAACTTCATCCCTGAGTTTTGTCTTCCGTCATCAAACTGAGCTACCATCCGAGGGCTGAAACTTACGCCCTTGGACAGATGATGGAGAATTATCCGGGTAGCGTGAGTTTGCTGTGACTCACGCACGATCCCGCAGCAAAGCAAATGGTAGTTCAGAGGTGATGGGAGACAAAAGCTTTTAAGCAGCCTCAAGCCAGCCGCCACCTTGACGGGAAAACGAAGAAGACGACAGACAGCAGCCCAGCCAACCCAATCGTCAGCACCAAACAGCAACCCAGCCTACCCGAACGTCAGCAACACCGAAATCCAGACAATATTCATGTAATCATGTGAGTACGCCAACGTTCAGCCATGCTACCAACACTCAAGATCAAGTCGACCAACGTCAAGATTCTTTAGCAAGTACCTACCGATATATGTGTGTGTGACAATATATTTGAACTATCGTTCCAACTCTCAACGTGTACTGGGCTTATACGTATTCTCACGGACATTCTTGTTCATATAAGGTACGTTATGTAATCAAGTCATTATTGTTTTGTTGTCTTAAAATTGTGTCATGTTTTTCTATAACGAGTATGTATTACAATCTATGTATTGTTATCAGAGGTACATCCTTACCAGATTAAGTTTTTGAAATCGGCTATGCTCTTACTCTATTCATGTCCTACTCTGCGCTTATACGCATTTAGTGCAGATCCACGATATCTGCAGGTTCCGAGTCGTCCCACACAAATCAGACTCCGGGTTTCAAGGATTTTTCTTTTAATTTGTGGCCCTTTAACCATTACTATAGACAATAGCTTTCAAAAAGTTATCCAATACTCTACAATTTCCTGCTTATATCTTCATTTATTCCTTTTTGAGTATGTAAGCACTGAAATTATTTATGCTCTTTGTGAAAACTGATAAAATCGATGTAGTAGCAGCGATTGTAGAAGTATAATAAGCTTGCGAGCCTCGTTGCTTACCAAACTTATTCAGTGGAGACTGCGTATACAGTCTATATGCTACTTCTTCGTTTTGCCAACGTGATTTTGTGCTTAATTATGATACCGGCGAAAATTATGTATATTCGTGCGATCAACCGTTAATGGTCTCTGGCACACAAAATACGATTCGTTCAAATATCTTCAAGACAATTTCACATGATTGAACCTTGCCGAGTCTAGGTTCACAATATTAGACTCCCAATTTCAAAGATCAAAGAGGGCCGAAACTTACGCCCTTGGACACATAAGAAAGTTGTCAGGGACGTGATTCGGCGGTTAACACGAGAAAATGAATTTATTTCAACACGAAAACTCAAACAAATTCTCCTTACAGAGCATGACTTAGATATTTCCTGCGTCACAGGGCCATATGACACACCATTGAACCAATCAACTCGAAAGGTTGCATGGGAATCACGCACGCACGAATACGGTGTTAGCGTTGGGCGTCTCAAGCAGTTATTTAATAATATTTATCCAATTTTTTTTGCATTCTTTTTCAGGTCAGTGCTACTGACTTGAATGTATCATTCCTTGCCACATTATTATATTTCATGCATCATGTTATTAGGTGTAATATATCATACGTAATTATTCATTTAGACAAATCATTGCTTTATGGTTGTGAAGAAAATATTTTTATATTTTCGTAGATGATTCGAGACTTTCAGGGCTGTTTCGGGTGTAAGAGAATCAAATTCTGAGCCAAGAATTGCACAAAATGGACAAGATCCGATTAGGACATGTACTACAAAGTTCAAACCTGAAATTCGTAGACGATTCCTAGAAATTCTTTGATAAACTAATTTTTTCTCACGAATCCCACGAACTACAAGAATGTTTGGGAATCAAATAAGATACATTTAAGATTCTTAAGAAATTATTTAGAATATGTAGGAATATGTAAGAATTCATATCCGTGGTACTTGTAATTCGGGCTATTACATGTCGTCGTGAAACAGGGGTATATGTATTGCACTATTCTTGGTCCCACGAAATGCCCTCGTCGTCAGATTCGAAGTCTGTGCTGTCACCTAAATGAACAACAACAGGCTGGACAGTATCTGGTCGGATAGTTTTGTTTCCAAAACTCTTCCTCAACTTTGATAACATGTTGGACACAGTTTGCCCAACATACATCTGTAATTTCTCCAAACCCTTTCAAGACAATCTGCTTGACGTCGGCAAGCTTGAAGGTCTTATTTTGCCATGCTACCATATTTTTCAAATCACCCCAGATTAGTTCGATGGGATTCAAGTCACAATGGTAAGGAGGAAGTCTAAGCACTTCGTGACCGTGTTCTCTCAACATGTTGTCAATCAAATAAGAGGGCGGGGGTTTCTTCTGAAGAACAAATTGGCAGTAGTCAGGGTTTTTTTTGGCTTTGTGGCCCGAGCAATGCGGTTGTTGTCCAGCCACTGACATATCTCACCTTTGGTGGAATTTGAGGTTGGACAACGGTTAATAGGATCTCGACAACTGTGATAGGGAGCATTGTCCATAACCACCAAGGATTTATAAGGCAGTGCTAAGAGAAGCTGACTATTCATCTCGGTATGGTAATCTCTGCCATCTGTAGATCTGGATCTGAACACTAGATCAGACCCCAGAAACCTCTGTGGGAGCCTGCATGGTGGACAATCAGGCGCTCCACTTTACCAGGGGGATCTTGCGCTGTGGCTCTCTGGTATCTGGGTGAGACCATTGGTAAGCCGCTGTGTGGCAGGCGTTAATCCAGGTTTCGTCCAAATAGACAGGCTCATAGCCTTCTTCGCGTTTCTTTTTAATAGTGAGCAAATAATTGATACGCAAATGAATTATATCTGGTCGTTCACACATTGCGAGTTTTGACCCTTTCGTCTTTTTGTACTGATATCCAAATTTGGAAAGGAGTTTACAAATGGTCTATTTGGAAATATCTAAGTCATGCTCTGTAAGGAGAATTTGTTATAGTTTTCGTGTTGAAATAAATTCATTTTCTCTTGTTAACCGCTGAATCACGTCCTTGACAACTTTCATATCAAAGGAATCTAACTTTAATTTCCTATCCTGTTTTGAGATGCCCCCTAAGGGATGTGCAGGGGAGCATGTGTTTTATGAGAGTTCAAAATCTTAACTACGGTTTGATTGGGAAGCTGTAACGCATGAATTGTTCTTTTCATGTACTTTGAAATGTCAAAGAAGGGCGAACGTCTTTCACTTTCAGCCTTAAATTATTCAAATATTTTAAAGATGCTTCCGCTGAGACATCATGAAATCTAATGCTAACACCGTATTCGTGCGTGCGTGATTCCCGTGCAACCTTTCGAGTTGAGTTGATTGGTTCAATTGTGTCATATGGCCCTGTGACGCAGGGGTAGTATTATGCAGATGGCTGTTACAATGAATGCTCGTTCCACCCGTGACGAACAGGTCTGGTTGTTGATGAAATATAGTGATAGCTAAATAGACAGATTTTTTATTCATGCACCGATTGTCTTTAAATGTAATATCCAGTTATGTATGACTGTTTA